GAGAGAAGGATATCAAATGAATACTCTGAGGCTTTAAATAAGCTCAAGGAGATTTATTTAAGGGTGCGGTTTTTATAAGGTTGCAATATTAAACAATTCAATTAAAGTGCATCTTAAAATTTTATTATAATATGTAATTTTGTTGTAAAACAATCATAGTATTATCTTAAAATCTATTTTAATACCTAACTAAAAAATTTTTAAATCCAAAAATGGTTAAAATCAAGTAGATCTAAAAATATATGAAAATCTTGAAAATGGACGGTGTAGATAATGTGTTGCAAGATACACTCTGAGATTCAAAAACTTTTTTTTTTCATATTCATACAACTTGATGTTGAGATGATCGATTAGAGGGTTTTTTCAACACTAAAACAACATTTTTGATAGATTTTTTAGGTGCTTATGTGATTCTACATTTTAAGGTTGCTACCTTATTAAAACTTTTCCCTTTATTTAATGAGATAAGTATTTTGGAGCAACAGATGGATATAGATTGAGGCAGTATTTTATCATTCTCAGCTCGTCAACCCTTTGTACCTTGTAAATGGTAGAGAGAGAGAGAGAGAGAGAGAGAGAGAGAGAGAGAGAGAGAAATGTTCATTTCCTTTAAAGCTTTGCTATGTTTTGGATAACTCAGTGTTGGAAAGCACGACTGGGCCCTGGGCTGAGTAACTCGGACTTAGTCCGAGTAATTTGGCTCGAGTTTGCTGGTTTTGGTCACCATAAAAAGTGTTAAAAATAAAAATAAAGTACAAAAAATCCCAAAAAAATAAAAAATATGTTTAAATTACAATTCAACGAAACGCTCTAAATGAAATTAAAAAAGTAGTGAAAAAATGAATTTAAAAAAATCAATTTATGACTAGAGGTATTTTAAAAATAATAAAAAATTAAGGAAAAAAATAAAAATAAGTACTCATTACCAAACACTTTATAATCTTAGCCAAAATATTTAAAACATCAAAATCACATTACGAATAAATTCTTTTTTCTTGGATTTTTAATATTTTTATTTTTACTTCTTTAGATGAAACTTGACCACCAAACTCGGGATAATCGAACGAGTCCGAATAATCAAACATTGGAAAAATTATTATGTGGCATCTAGGGAGAGAAATAACGAATAACGGTTGGCTGGTTGGACAGTTTCATTATGGAGATCTCGAGGGATATATTGAAGGAGGCTAAATCATCCAACTAGAGAGACGAGCGAGAAGAAACGCAAGTCCCCAAGGCATTGTTGCAACCGGAAAAAACTTTATTTTTTTTTTGGGTAATTTAGTGGAGAAGATAGTCCCCTACCCATTTTTTCAGATAGATTAGGGAGCTAGTTTTCATTAAACAACAAGATTGGAAACCGCAACATGGTAACTAGTGAGAGAGACATCCAAGAAATATAGAGTAATTCTTTCTAGGGATCATATATTATGAGATAATTTATCTTTTTTTGCATAGAGGGCTGTTAGATGTTAAATTGGATGGCCTTGAGTGTGTCACAAAGTTGGCAAATTCTTATTTTTATTTTTTAATTTTGAGTTTAGTTAAGGATGCGGTTTGTATAAAACCTAGGCTTTGAACAATCAAATTAGAGCCTACTTTCAAGTAGTATGGAGAAATGTGGTTTCACTATTGGAAATCTTTGTAATAGCTTTGAAATATATTTTTATATTTATTTATAACGTTTAAAGCTTCAAAAATAGTTCAGATTCACATATATGAAAGCTTGAAAATATTGAAAAATGACGGTTCAAGAATGCATTACAAAGTGCATTATTTCCAAAACTTGAAATCTATTTTTTTTCATGTCCATGCATCTTGATGTCGAGATGATCAATTTGAAGACATTTAGACATCAAAATAACCTCTTTGAATGAAATTTGGATGTAGGCTCAAATTTGATCGTTTAGAACCTCGGCTCTATATAAACTTTTCCCTTTAAATAATTGCACGCTCACAAGCACCCATTTGAAATCTAACAAATGATTATGACGCCAAACATAAATCTCTCTCTAGAATCCATTACTCCATTGCTCAATCATCCATCTCTCTCTTGAACTCTTTAATCTCTGTCCTCTCTCTCTCTCAAGAATTGGCCATACATGCAAACATTAATCAGTACATCTCTCTCCCATTAGAGTTCATTGGGTAAATTATAAATCTTTCTCTAGACGAGTTGACGGATCGGCCATAAATCTCTCTCTCACTCAGCATGCCACAGGCAAACACAAACACCCATTGGAATAGAATGGCCAGCCATAAATCTTAACCTCTCTCACGTTGAGTCCATTGAGTTGCCTCTCTCTCTCTCTCTCGCTAATGCACACAGTCCCTCTCTATCTCTCCTGCACAACTCTCTCTCTCTTCCCTCCTTGATCGAGTGACCTTGCCTCAAATCTCTCGCTCTTGGGTTTGGTGATAGCCAAATCATTATATCTATATTTTCTTTAGATCCGGTGATACCTAGGTTTTCTTCTAAAGATTAAGGTTGGATTTCTTTGGGAAGCAAAAAAGCGATATCTACATAAAAGAGTCGAAAAATATAACACCCCGTTTTTTTGAGGGTCGGAAGACATAATACCTGTCATCTTGAAAATCACCCATTTGAGCGGGTTATTAGAAGGGAAGGGATCTCCAAAATGGATATGGGTATTTAAGAGAGAGGCATAACTTTTAAGAGAGAGGTGGTATTCTGATGAGATTTTGTATTAGTTAAGCTTTTGGTTGCTCTCAAAATTCTCTTTCCAATAGTGGTATAGCAGTAGTGGGAAAGATGTTCATTAACGGTGTCGCTCGGACGGGAGAGCGGGTTTAAAAAAAAATATTAACAATGATATTTTACAGATGTTTAGATAAGGATATTTTTTTTTGTAACCAAAATTGTAATATTCATTGAGATAATGGATTTCTAGTTGCCATGTAGTCTTACAGGATGAACAGTGTCGTTGTGATGTGACTGTTATATGTTTATTTTATTTTTTAGACTCGACTTATAGTGTGTATTCGCTGTCTTTAACCAATTATGTACACAAATTTTTTATGAGATTTTGATATTTGAAATTCCTAATTCCTCAAGCTAGGGTTTCTAAGAACCCTACATCTCTCACACACAAGCACACCCACAAACACATCGATCTGCCGTACATAGATTTGCAACTAGTCTCTTTGTCTGTAGAACTAACTTTTCCATGTTTTGAAAAGGGTAAGGTGCAGTTGCATAAAAAGAGGGGGGGCCTTTTTTGAAAGGTGTTTCTTGCGTGTTGCAGAGAAAGTAAAAGAAAGCTGCTAAATGAAATTAAAATAAATTTACAGATAAATCCATAAAATAACAAATAGAAAATATAATTTAATTAAATTATCTAATACTGAGCATAACTATCCATAAAAACACCAGTACTTTATTAAGCCGTATGCTATCGCGAATAAAATGTGAATAACTTTTGCAGGAAGCATGAGAAGATCTGATATCCCTGACATTTTTGCCTCTTACCTTTATTCATCTCAAAGAAAGAGAAAAAATAAAAATAAAATTAAAAGAACACCACAGAAAAGGAATACTTTAAAATAATATAAATCCTACGGAAAATCCTCTTTAACCCTATGTTTTTAAACGGGGCTCGGGAGAGCCTTTCTGCCGGGTAATTAATTTACTGGGCCTCAAAAGCCATAAAACTTTTTAAAACTTCAAAAAAATTAAAACTTCAGAAAACTAAAAAATAAAAAAATCTAAAAGTGAAACAAAATTAAATGCAACATAAGGGATCCAAATAAGCTGCATAAGGTGTCAACCTTGTATTATTGAAGTAAGGTGTACCTCAAAACTTGGTTGCGGTGCCTTAAAAGCCATACAATGATATGAAAATCTATTTTTTCTCCAATTATGAAATTTAAAGTTCTAAGAACAATGACTATCAAGCAGATCTATAAATATTTATAAATCTTGAATATTGACGGTCTAAATAATATGTTAGAAGATAAATTATTTTTAGAACTAAAAATCCCCTATTTTCCATGCTTATGAATCTTCATGTCGAGATGATTGATTTGAAGGTTTTCCAACATAAGAACAACCTTCTTTAGTAAATTTTTCAAGTGCACCTTATTTGTTCAGTATAAAGTTGACACCTTATATAAACCTTTTCCAATAAAAAAAATGGATTTAGAAAAAAAATATCTACAATTGAAAATATATTAGAAAAATCTACAAATATTTACACAATAAAGCTTAAAAGCACAACCAAATTACATATATCATTTTTATACATTAGCCTCCAAATTTATATAATTTTTATGCTTTTTTATTTTTTTATATACCCAAGTTGTTAAAGATTTAGATTTTATAATTAGGGATGGAAACAGTTTCAAGCTATTATAATGCTTTATGACAGGATTTTTACTGTTTAAGATTTACATATTGCAAATACCACCTCACACAACTGATTTGTCCTAATCCCATTACACCAACTTTGATAATAAGAAAAAAGTAAAACATATAGGAAAAAAATTATATAAGGCTGCAACCTTATACTATAGAAATCAAGTGTACCTTAAAAATTTTCAATATAAAAGAGGGTTGCGAAGCTTGAAAACCTTGATCTTCTCGACTTTAAGATGGATGGATATAAAAAAAATTATAAATTTTCCAAGCAGCTGATTTTTAAGATTTTCAAGTGTCAACAAATATACTTGATCTACACTATTTATAAAAATTTTAAAGAGTAACCGAAAAGGATTGAAACCCTTGTAAAAACGTCACCATATAAAAAGCTTCAAGTTCAAAAAAAAATAAAAAACATAAAAAAGGAAAAAAATGAAAAGAAGGGAAAAAGATAGAAACTATATTCAAAAACAAATAAAAGCTAGTAGTGGCCTCGGGGGCATTTTAGAAAAATAATTTGCCGAATTGGGGTAATTACGTGAGGCACACCCCGCATGCGTGGACACCACCGAGAAGAAACTCGCACGAGTCGCATGCATGCACGTAAAAGTTCGCCATCCCATTAACAAAAGGACACATTCTTTTCATATTTACGCATTCATACATCAAAAAGTAAACTAAAATGAACGGTCCGGATTCAAACCCAGCATCAGCCGTCACATCCGGACCGTCCATCGGTTCCTCCGATCCCGTCTGCGACCAGGACCGTCCGATCATCCACATGCCTGGACTGGACGGCCAAGATCACCTCTGCGTCCGTATCGCGGCCGATCCGGTCCATCGATTTGCTCCCGGGAGTTGCAGAAGAGCGCCTCCCATATCTCAGAGAAAACCTTCACTATAATGGCGTGATGGCGAGGCGCGTTTAGAGAGAGAAAGCAATGAAGCAATTGCTCCAAGTCTTTGGCATCGAACATCTGCTTCTCCAAAATCATCTCGACCATCGAATTCCGGAAATCGCCATATGGATCGTCCGACCTTTTCACCACCGCGAAGCTCTGGCCAACTTTCCCAGCCACATTCGCCGGGAGTTCTTGCCGGAAATCTGAATTCTTTGCCAGGTAATCGCTCTCCGTCTCGTCTCCTTCCCGCCGGAAATCCGAGGTTTTCACCGGGAAATCACTCTCTGTCTCATCTTCCCGCCGGAAACTTGAGTTTTTCGACGGGAAATCACTCTCTGTCTCATTTCCGGCTCCAAATTCCTGCAAAACAGCGGGGAAATCTGAGGCCTTGAGAACCGGCCTCTTCCGCCTGTGAGAACGCTTGGATAGAACTTTTCTCCTGTGACTTTTCCTCCTTCTGACTGAAGAGATCGGCGATTCTTGGATTGAATGGAGATGGCTCAGATCTGAAGAATCAGAAGAGAGGCTTTTTGATGAGAATAAGGCCTCTGTTTCGTCGTCTTCGCTGCTAAACCAGCCTGAATCAGCAGAGGAAGTGCTAGGCCTGTGTTTTTTCGAGCTCATTTTAGGGTTTCTCCGCTTCTTCCTAACCTTAATTTCCTGCAACCTGAAGCACGAATTCACAGGCGATGGAGTGGCCGGAGAAGCAGGAGGAGGGCAGAGATCATTGCTAGAAAAATGGCCGGAAATTTTAATCCGAGCTTTCTCTTCCTGGACTTTGGCCACCACGTGCCATTTCTCCTCCTTCTTCCAGCGATATTCCGACCTCGAACTCCCCGGATAACGATTTTCCGGCGAGAACGGACGGTTCGACCTCGAACTCCGGCAACCGCAGCTGACTGAGACAGCAGCCCTCGAGATTTGCTGCCGCAAGCTCCGCGGCCTCGGTCGCTCATAGACAGCCGGAAAATCCTGGGAAACCGCCGGAATATCACTGCAAATCACCGGGAAATCAATGTCGATGACCTTTGGATTTACCGGAGAAAGACAGACACGCCGGAATTCTCTGGCCGGAACTGGACTTTCCGGCAAGGACGAGGGTTTCGTTGAACGGCAAGACTGGAAGGAGGGAAACACACGAGAAATTCGAAGCTTCAGGCGCCTCGCCATTAATTCTCGAGCTCAAAAGCTTCAGACCTCAGCTCATTAAAGCGTCAAGCAAAAGGGTTATTTATAGTGAGGAGAGAATTGCGCGTGTGCTCTGAGATAGGCTGTATAAAGCTGACAATGACCAGGTTGTCCCTCTCAGCCTAGTCCCTTTCGGTCCACCTTTAGGGAGCATAGTGCCGAAATGCTCCAAACCCCAGTTTTGAGGAATGAAGAATGTTGGAGATTGAATCGAAAGCTCAAGCCAATGTCATTTTCTCTTGGTAAAATTTTTCATAGAAGTGAAACATAAATGTCATTTTTCTTAATTTTTCTAAGATCGCCATGCAAATGTATATTAAATTATGTGTCTAAAAATGCATATGAAAGTCTAATTTGAATGGAATTGTTGGTAGTGGGTTTGAATAGCTGGCAACGAGTCGATAACAATATCATACATTAAAGTTATTAACATTGTTTAATTTTAAGAATAAATATTTTGAATATATACGGATGCATAGACTAATTCGCTCGATGCCCAACATTACTTGAAACTTAATCCTTAATTCCCATAATTTTTAGAATTATACTTTTTAAAAATAATTTTTTATAATCAAATCACCATTTTGTGAATTTAATCACAATAACACGAACATCTGAGGACCTCAAGCCAATGCGCATCATGTTGTCCTTTTGTTTTCATTTTTTGGAGTAATTCAACTTATTAGAGACATGTAAAAATAGTAAATATATTTGTCAATTGGGATAAAAAATAATTTTTCCTTTTCTTTTCCAACGGCTGACCGGCAGGAGGGCTGGCTGCATTCCCAAAGGGGCATGTCAGGTATTGCCAGAATAGATGAGGACGACAATGGGCCATATCTAAATATTAATAGAGAAAATTTTAAAAAGCGAATAAAGTAAAGATGAGGAGAATGAGAGGGGGGAAGTGACGGTCTACAGAAGCCGGCACAGAGCTGTAAAAATACGTGTCGGCCATTGGTTGGTCTGCTCGCTTGCGCGTTTGCGTGAAACGAAAATTTCAAAAGAGATTTCTGGAAATTTTCGACTCCGGTTTTTAGCGGAGAAATTATCAAAAATATACATTTATTTTTGTCTAATTGAAAAAAAAAATTTCATTTCATAAACCTAGTCCACGTCAGTTTTTTTTTTTTAAATATTTTTTTATCAAAATAGCATTCATAGTAGCCGTATTATCGTAAAATCGTAATATTACGGTACTTAATGACTACTCCATTTTATACGGCATTTTAAATACCGTGATAACTCGAATTAATTTAAATCTCAAAAATAAAGAAAAATTGTGTAGATGAGGTTTATAAAAGTTGATGGTTTTTTCTTCTAATTTGACAAAAATTAAAACATATTTCTGATAATTTCCCTTATTGTTATTATTATTATTATTAAATTTCATAGATAGTTTATATAAATGCAAGGCTTTAAAATATCAAGTTAAGGCACACTTGAAAGAATTCACTATAAGAGGTTGTTTTGATGCTTAAACATTCTCAAATTGATCATCTCAACCAAAAGATGCATTGACATGAGAAAAAAATGGATTTCAACTTTAAAGGGTGTGGTTTCTATAAGGCTGCAACCTTAAACAATCCAATCAAGGCACACCTCCAAAATTTATCATAACATATAATTTTGGTGTATACAAATTTTAGGATTATCTCAAAATCCATTTTCATACCTAATTATAAAATTTTGAACTCCAAAAATGGTTAAAATCAAGGTGACCTATAAACATATGCAAACTTGAAAATATACGGTCTAGATAATGTGTTGCAAGATGCGTTATTTATGAGACTCAAAATATATTTTTTTCCCCAAATTCATACATCTCGTTGTTAAGATAGTCAATTAGAGGGTTTTTTAACATTAAGACAACATTTTTCGATGGATTTTTTAGATGCATCTTTAGTTCTATATTTTAAGGTTGCAACCTTATATAAATTTTTCCTTTCGAAAATAGTGCATCTTGTAATGCATTTTTTGACAGACAATTTTCAAGATTTTCAAGTTTTCATATATCCTTTCAATCTATACTATTTTTTAAGCTTTAAATTTTATATATAGAGAAGAAAATATATTTTAAGGCTATCACAAATATTTCAACTATTGAAACCACATTTCTCGATATTATTTGAAGGTGTGCTTTATTTCGATTGTTTAGAGCCCCCGTGCTGGTGTTCTATTATCATTATATATTAACATTAATAAATTTATTCCATTAAATAAAAATAAAATGTACAATAAAGAACAAAATACATCGATCCCTAGTTACCAAAATGGCTTTTAACCGCGATATCTGCAGTGCAACTCGATAAAGCTCTATGCTGCTCGGGTTCTCTTTCCCTCTTTTTTTTTTTTTTTCCTTCTGAGAAATTTATCAAAATACAACTAATTTACCAACTATCTCACACTTTTTCCGATTTCAAATGTTATAATTCATGATTATGTGTATTTTGATTTTAGAAAATGGGAGTTTATCAAAGTATCCATGATATATGAATCATTTAACATGCCACTCATATTTTATTTCAAAATACGGATGTAAAGACACATGATTATGAGTTGGAATAGTTGCAAATGTGTAAAATGTTAAATAGTGAATACTTCATAATAAGAATATTTTTTATAAAATTATCTTGTGAAATTAAAGCAAACAATGAGTAAATTGTTATAAGAAGCTGAAGCTCTAAACAATCAAAGTAAAAGCGCACATTTAAATAGTGTCGAGAAATGTGGTTTCTATAGTGGAAATTTTTGTGATAGCCTTAAAATATATTTTCATCTATAATTATAAAATTCAAAGCTTCAAAAATAGTTTAGATCGAGTAGATCTATGAAAACTTGAAAATCTTAAAAATTGACGGTCGAAAAATGCATTACATGTCCACGTCCATGCATCTAGATGTCAAAAATAGGTGAGGTAAAAAATAGTCTTAAAAAATAGATGGACTATTTCCAAAACTTGAAATCCATTTTTTTGTCTCATGTCCATCCATATATCTTGAGGTCGAAATAATCGATTTGAAGATATTTAGGCATCAAAACAACCTCTTATAGTGAAAATTTTGATGTGCACTCTAATATGATTGTTCAGAGCCTTGCACTTATATAAACTTTTCGATAGTTAAATATTCCAATTGACATTTTTTTTAATTTATTTTGCATGTAAATCTTTGCATCAAAAGTTTTAAAACATATTATTTTGCTACTTATTGTTAGTTTATGGTTCTTTATTTTGTTGCAAATTTGGTCGGATCTAGCCCGAGTCTTATGCTCTATTAAACCTGAAAAATTCATTTTTTTAATTTTGATATTTTCCACAAAAAATACACAGGAAACCAATCTTTTATTTAAAAAAGCCATTTTATATTATAAAAAATTAAGAAGACGGACAAGGAAAATTCTGAATTGAATTCCATGGTTCAGCCGTACACCCTGACCGTTTCCATGGAAAATACTATACACAAAAGTACACACCAGCTTCGAATTCGCCAGACTACTAAAAACATATAATATTCATAAAAATAACAAAAAATATAAAAGAATGTGAAAAAAGAAAGGAAAATGATTGTATGTTTCCGAGGGAGCACATTATCAATTCACTCTGTCAGGTAAGACCTTATTTTACAACCCCAATTACTCCGGACTCTATGCACTAGCCACCAACCCCCACAAAACAGACCTGAATCATAAGAATTTTTTGGATAGTAAGATCTAAGTGTTGTTTCGGCGGAATATGTCAGCCTTCGAATTTTAGGCTTAAATCGAAAAGATGCGAAGCTTGGTGCCACCGCTTCGATCAGATTCAGGCCGTTTTGGGCTGCCTCGATCAGATTCTGGGTCTTCTTCGGCAAACAAAGAAATAGCTATATAAAAATATTTTTTATTTTTAAATTTTAAATTATTAAATTTTTACTTTTTTTCATTACTTGTATATATTATATATATAAATATCTAATTTATTTATACTAAATTAAAACAAAAAGTCCAAAGTCTTCCCCCTAATCGACCGAAGCACTGAATTGCTTTATTTTTCTCACAAAACCAAATATGGCTTCGAAGCGAATCTGACAACATTGGATCTAAGCGTAGGAATGGGGCTAGGTCAAGGTGGTAGCACCCCCATATCTAGCTACCACGTTATGGTTTTCAATGCTGCTGATACCACCTACTAGGATTTTAAAAGGAGCTAACTCCGTAATCTATTTAAAATAAATGGGTAGGGACTTATCTTTTCCACTTAATTACCCCAAAAAGAGATTTAAGCCTTTGGAAATTCAAATTTTACTTTATTTTTGGTAAATATGGTCATTCGCCAACTCTAAAGTGGATTCCGAAATTTCGAATCAATAAAATACTCTTAAGCATGATCATTGCTAAAATGACATGAACACGATAAATTGTATCCTAATATTGAACAAAGAATGTTTGATTTATAGGCAATAAGATCTAAGCATTTGGGGATTCAAGATTTACTTTATTTTATATGAAATAATCATCTGACAATTCGAAAAGGAGCTGATGGTAGCACCCCACACTTAATTACTACGTTGTGGTTTTTAATCGCGCTGGGATGTATTGACACTTTAAAAAAAGTTAAACTCCCTAACCTATCTACAAAAAAAAATAAAAATAAAAATAAAAAAATAAAAAAAGGGTAGATCGCAAAAAAAGAAAAAAAAAAGGAAAAGTAGATCGTAAAAAAAGAAAAGAGAGTGCATAGCTTGTCCCGCAGGAGCATGTAACTTAGGCTCACATTCAAAGCGTTTTGGCACGTGGGACCAATCCAAAACCACGTGCCACGTCAGCAAGACCGATGGCAATAAGCCAATCACAAGCAAACAAACACGGATCTTTGTCATGCTCTCACACGTGAGATGAAAGAAATGGCTGAAAGGACGTGACGGTCTCTTCTTAACTGCAAGAACCATTCAAAGTTTCGGATTTCTGCCGAAATTTCGGACATGTTGAGCTTTCGGTTGTTCCAATTAATTCTTAAAACCAG